ATACCTTGGCCCAGGCTGCCCTCCAAGTCTGGGCTGGGCTGGACAGGGTTGAGGGACCCACCATGGGCCAAATAAAACCCTCTGGTAGGTCAGGTGTGGCCCGCAGGCCAGATTTTGCCCATCCCTCATTTAAATGATATGGTTCCCTACCCTCCAAGCCAGGTAAAAGTAGCAGAGATTTTAGGAAAAGGGGAAAGAAAACAAAAAAGGGAAAACTGCAGAAAGATAGATGCTGACAAAAGAACTAGAGTAGATACATATAAGGAATGTGAAAAGCCTATGAGAAAATGCATTTAAGGAAGAAATATACCACATTGCTCTGATAAGAGCTCAAATAAGGCAATGTTTAGTAACTCAGTGGGATGAAAGTGTCTAGCTATATCAAGTGCTCTTACAGTAAACAGACTACCTCAGTTGAATACTACAGGACTCCCAGATGTATTACAAATCAGAAGTAGATGTCTTTGAGAGGAAATCAGATCCCAATGCATGTCTACTACATTAAAACGTTAAAAAGTTCTTTTAGTCTGTTCAATAATGTAAAACCCCTGAAGTGCAGGGAAGAAAGGGTTAAATTTAAATGCTTTGCACTATGTTGAAAACCCATGTTTGATTTTTGGTGCCTTGTTCCCTAAAAATTGCTGGGGCAGAAACTCTTCTATTGGCAGGAAAGGGAACATTAAGAACATTCACCTCAGGTTTCAGATATATACAAAAAAAACCAGCTGTGCCCCTAACAGGCAAACTCCAATGCACACAAGTAATCCCACTAAACTTAATGAGGATTAAGTGTATGTATATGTTGAAGGATGAGAAACATGGTATATTACACAACACAACTACACTAAAAATGTATTTCACCAGGCGTCAACCTGAATCCCATACATTTGATGATAACAGCACTGGCCCCACCTCCTGTACTTTTCATCAGCAGTTCTCATAGGAATTTACAAAGGAATCTCAATACCAACACCCCCTTTTTGCCAGTGGTAAAACTGAGGCACCAAGGTGATGCGACTTGCCCAAGCTCATCCCCCGGCAGGCCATGCCAGATGCAGGAAAGGATCTCAGATCTCTTGAGTCCCAGACCAGTGCTTTCTCCACTGTGCCACATATCACCTGTAAGCTGCTGACAGAGACTTAATATAATCAACATGGAAAGACTTAGGCCACATGTTTGCAAATAGGTCCTCACAAAGAGGCTTCCAGGGACTGCACTGCAGATCCAGACAAGCACAGAGTCATCCCACATGAAGCTGGCTGCGAGATCAAATCTTAAATGCTATGCTTGTTTTACATTAACCAAGTAGAAATAAAGACAGGCACATCTCAGAGCACTGCACTTTCACTTTTTTGGCTCCATGAAGTCTTTACATGTAAAGGATGTGTTCATGCATTGACTACTCAAACAGTAAAATGAAAGTACATGCATGTTTGTAAGATCTGTACTTATTCTTCACAAAACAGAAAGTTTGACTCTGGTCTATACTCATTCAGCTAAAAGAAAATAAGCTATAAAGTAAGCCAACTTTAAGAATGTCTGTGGCTTTTAGCCGTGCAGCAAAACTGTCCAACTTGAATAATACTCAGTTTACTCTGGATGCAAGTCATCTGGAAGAAACAAGCTGAAGCTTCTAGAAGTTTATAGGAGGAAATAAATGTATCTGTCAAAATAAAGGTGTATGCTGAACAAATTACTTAAATAAAGCATCTCTGTATATGAGATGAATTTGAACATTCAAAATTAACTCTTCACATGAAACGTGTTCCACTTGAGACTACTTATGTAACAACAAATATTACTTTAATTTGCTTCTTTTGCCTACTGATAAGAGGCAAGTTTAAAAATAAATTATTAGCCACTAATAGTATTTAGCATTTTAAAAAATATCTTGGCAAGAATTACAACATTTCTCTGCAAATGTGTTTATCTCACTGGAAGCACTTTCTTCCTGAAGGTCAGATGTCTCTTACGTCACAAACCTCTATGACTTGTAATTACAAAAGCAGCATACAAGAGGCATTAAAAGTGACCTGTTGTGTGGTAATAATCTTTTTCTACAACAATGTAGTATAGACTCAATGAGCTAGTGCAACAGCCTATCAGTTTTGGGAACCCAAACATAAAAGGTGAATATAAAATATAAAACCTCAAAGCAAAACAAATAATGCAACTTTGGCAGACTCAAGTTAGACCCATTTCTTTGGTACATTTCCCCACAGACCCAGAACAGGATGGGGGTGCACTAGCACAGCGGAGCGCAGAAGTCTTCATTCTTCCTGCAAAAACGACGCCTGGTTTAAACACTTAGCCTTATTTTTGATAAGCATTCAAGTACATGCAATTTGCAGTGAAGAAACATAAGCAGCTCAGCCTTCCCCTGACTAACAGACCTTTTCACTACTGAGTTGGAAAGCCAAGAATCTGAAGAAGACTGCACTGCATTTGAAAACTGAAATAAGTCTATCCTAACTGTGCTGTCAGTCCATTAAAAGACATCACTCACAAAAACTCTTGCCTCGCATATTTCCTGGACCATCACAGCTACAATATCACTCCACCACTCCCAACAAATAACTGGTTTCCTTCAGTTATATTCTTTTAACTCTGGCAAGCAGTCTCCTGAATGCAAAGTGTCACTAGGACTGTTATGCAAAAGACAGTGCTGTTTTTTCTGCATGGTAAGAGGCAGGAATCACCCAACGGGACTCCCTCTTCTCACATCACCCCAGCAGAAGACAGCTCACAGGTGTCCCAGCAAACACTTGGGCAAGGCAGTCCCCAGCCAGACTGGATTATAGAAGCCCGGTTTCTCTAGCTGCACTTTCATCGCACCAACTTTGGAGAACAACTTACATCAATTCTCTCAGCCTGCAAGACCTAAAAAAAAATGTCGTGGTTCCCCAAGAGAAGCCGGGCTGGTTCACAGGCAAATGAACCGCCGTTACCTTGCTTTTGCCAAACCCGTTCTGTCGAAGGTCAAGGGCCCGTTACATTCCTGCAGCTCCTAAAACCAGACGTCGTTTGGGAGCCACTTGTAACAGCGACATTTGATCAGGCAGGGAGGGAAGGCAACACCACCAGGCTGGCGGATGGGCAAGCAGCAGCAGCAGGAGGCTCTTAACTTGGTTTCATGGCAGCGCTCAGATCCTCAGCAGCAGTCACCACGGACCGTCGCAGTCAGCGATTTTTAACTTCGGAAGCCCGCGAGGCTCCGACGTCTGCAGGTAGCCACACGCCCTACACCCCCTCACACACACACACACACACCAGCTAGACACACACACGCACCGCCACGCTTACCAGTCACACGGCCGAAAGCACCTGCATGCCGCCACACGCACCCAACGCGCCGCCACACTCCATGGCACATCCACACGCGCCCGCAGGGTTGCACACGCATCCACACGCGTGGGGTTGCACACACAGCACCAACACAGGGTTGCACGCCCGGCGCCGCAGGTGCACACGCGCGCTCACCATTGTGGTTGACCCAGGTCGGCTTCAGGAGCTTCATCGTCCCGCGCCGCCGCCGCCGGGAGCCCAGGGCGCGCGGGCTGCGGCCGGGCTGACTCCGCCGCCGGCTTC